CAAGCTGTATCATAATCTTCTTTAATCTTCAGTATCAGCCCACTGAGCTTTGAGAGCTAAGGGTGCTTTACAAGTTAAGTGTCCAGAAGCACCTACCACCACATTGGTAGACCACCGACTGATTGATCCCAGCAGCTGGCTTCACTGACCTGCACAGCCAGGCTTGGGGCACCCCAAATCACACATGCTTCCACTTTCTAAAACCAGGTGTGTTGCTGTCATGGGAAATCTAATTCCAGTCCGAGGGCACCATTACTGGGAGGTGGAGGTGGATGAGCATTTGGACTATACAGTTGGTGTGGCCTTTGAAGATGTCACTAAACAGGAGGATCTGGGAGCAAACTGCCTCTCCTGGTGCATGAGGCACACATTTGCATCATCAAGGTAAAGTAAAATCTGGATACTCACAATTAAAATTTGTTTTTGAAAGATTACAGCAAGACCTTTTTACTAGCAATAATTAAGACACACGTTATGTTTTACAAATATTCTAAGACATTTCAGGAGTTGCTGCCAGTCATTTTCCCTAAAGTCCAAGTAAGAGGAGAAAGAGCAGCTTTTCTCTGAGCTAAAAATAGCTAAAATTTATGGAGAATTATGTGCCAAGTACTCTTACATGCATTATCTCATTTACTTCTCACAATTGTGTTATCTCATTTTAAAAATCAGAATGCTGGGTACAGTGGCGTGCACCTGTAGTCCCAGTTACTCAGGAGAGTGAGGTGGGAGGATCGTTTGAGCCCTGGACTTCAAGGCCAGCTTGGGCAATATAGCAAGACCCCTTCTCTAAGACAAAAACAAAAACAAAAATAAAAGAATAAAAATAAAAAGACCACACCTCACAGCAATTAGATAATCCAAACGACATGGATTTGGAACTTGGATTCAAACTCAAGCAGTCTGGCTCCAAAGAGTTCATTCCTAACCACTTAAGTGATTGATTTTTTCATTTCTGTTCACCTTTAGTATTAAGCCAATACAGTTTGCTTTGAAGCCCCAGTTCCATCTTTTTAAGTGAATGTGGGCAAGAGGCTTAGTAGTTATGGCTAATTCTGGTTTGCTCCTGCTGCTGGGCACTCTGTCTTTACACATGGAGTAGTTCCATATAGTAGGAAAAAAAGTCTCATGCAGCCCAGGTCAATGAATAAACTTTCAGACTTAGAACAACCTTCCTTCACCTCAAAAACTGAAAAACAAGACCCCACACTGCTTTCCCATCACATCTTGTAAAATGGGGCCTCTGACCCTCCTTGGTTTGATGAATCCTAGTAATGTTCATCCAATGTTCTCTGCCCATGGTCCTCTATCATGGTTATTCATGCCCAAGCATAAGTGGGAAGACCAACTTCCCCCTGATAATAGATGAGGACACTAATGAAATCTACTAAACTTCAGACCCAGTTTGGGGAATGCAAGAATTACTATACACTGAGGCAGATACTTTATTTGGGGATTCTGCCTGAAGTAAGGCTAAAGATCAAAGTCTCTTCTTTAGAAAGGCAAGAACAAGGGGCAGAGTAAAACTAAGGGAGCATAAAGAAAGCCTAGAAGTCCGTGTGTAGGGGGAGGAATAAGGGGAGTAAGAAGAGAGAATAGAAGAGGGATGGAAGACAAAGGAAGGGCAAAAGCTACAGGCCAAGTGCTAGAGCCAAGCCAGTTTCTTACAGATGTAGGGGTGTGTGTGTGTGTGTGTGTGTGTGTGTGTGTGCGCGCATGCACACGCACACGTTACAAATGGAGAATGAAGGTAAGGCATCCTAGGATAAGGTCTCCTAGCAGATTTGCATTTTTGGCTCATAGTATTAGACTCCATTGGTGGTGGGAGAGAAAGTACAGGAAAGGACTCATATAGCTTCTGGCAGCTGCTTAGTTAAAATAAGGTGAAATGGGCTTGAGACAGGCTGGCTTCCTCTGACATGTTTAGATCGTATTCCAAGTGTTCATCCCAGCAGCCTAGACTAGCCTGTTGACACAAAAAGCTTTTCAAGTATCTGTAGGTAGCAGGGTTAGGAAATTCCTGTGACAGGTTTTGGTTTCTGCCATTTTTCAAAGTAACAGGCCCACTGGCCTTGATTGGTAACAGGCCCACTGGCCACTCAATTTGGCCCACTCATTTTTCAAAGTACACAGGATGCAGAGCACGGATAGTGATATAATATTGATTGGTAACAGGCCCACTGGCCCACTCAATTTGAAAGTTTAAGAATTGGAGTAACTGTGCAGAGAAGAGCTTATGCCAAGAGGCCCATTTTATCACATGGAAAATCACAAGGTTCCCTGTTTCAAATGTCTAATCCAAATTTTAAAAACATGTTCTATTCCTATGCTAGTTTAGATGCAAGAGAGTTCAGGATGCTATAGGTAAATTTCTTAGGTTAAGAGGTTACTAGAGAAAAAATGATGTTTGAAAAATGTTTCGGCCAGGAGCAGAGGCTCCTACCTGTAATCCCAGCACTTTGGGAGGCCAAAGTGAGCAACTGCCTGAGCTCAGAAGTTCAAGACCAGCCTGGGCAACACAGTGAAACCCTGGTCTCTACTAAAAATACAAAAATTAGCTGGGCTTGGTGGTACATGCCTGTAATACCAGTTACTCAGGAGGCTAAGGCAGGAGAATCGCTTGAACCCGGGAGGTGGAGGTTGCAGTGAGCCGAGACAGCACTACTGCACTCCAGCCTGGGTGACAGAGTGAGACTCCGTCTAAAAAAAAAAAAAAAGAAAATGTTTCTTAGGACAAATTTTAGAAAAGAGATAGTTTAGAGAATATAGTTTTAGAAATGGCTTGTCACTTTGGTAGTCATTTAATACTAGAAAGTAGCAAAATCATAGGACTATCAATAAAATTAATATGAAATATTCTATAAATAGTAAATCTATAGAATTACTGAAACTTTATTATGTCAAATTTAATTTTCAGGCATAGGTATGAATTTCTGCACAACAGAACAACTCCAGATATAAGAATAACAGTTCCTCCAAAGAAGATTGGCATTCTATTAGACTATGAAAATTCCAAGTTGTCATTTTTCAATGTGGACCTTTCTCAGCATCTATACACATTTAGTTGTCAGCTTCATGAATTTGTGCATCCCTGTTTTTCTTTGGAAACCCCTGGGTGTCTAAAGGTACATAATGGCATTTCAATGCCAAAACATGTCACTTTCTATTAGAACATTCTGATGTCCAGTTTCCTGTCTTCCATGCCTACCCCTCTTGCAGCCAATCACGCCTTAGCTGGCTGAACATGGCATTTAAGCACCATGTGCCCAGCACAATTTATGGCTCATGTTATTATCTGGCAGAATGGTGTGCTGGCGCTCATTTCACCCAACCTGGATTCTAGTCCTGTGTGCTGCTAAGATAGTCATTACCAGGCCCAGCTGTAAAATAAAGGCTCAGACTAAATGAACTCAAAAGTCTTTAAAGTTGTTAAACTGTAGTTGTGTATATGCAAAATATGAGTTTCCAAAACCTAGAGAGCTTGGAAGACGAGGAGGGTAGTCTTAATGGCTCCAGCAGCCCCAGTACACTCATGCATTTCATGAGTCAGCCAAGAATATACTTGAGAAGGCGAGAGGCTGTCTGTAGAAAACCAGGGAAGCTGTGTGCCCTTCTCAACGTCTTCTACCCTCATTTTCCCAATAGTGAGCAGCACTGTGGTGAGGTCCCTTCCACTATGTACTCTTTATAACACCCTGTTCCACTCCTACACAGTATGCACCACTCTCTAATTTTGAAATTACCTCTATAATGCCCAATTCCACGAAGGCAGGGACAGTGCCTGTTTTGTTAATTGCTAGATCCCCAAGGGCTAACACACAACAGCTGTCACCAAGTATTTGTTGAATAAATGAGTATCTTCTTCAGCCACTGCTCTTTGGCCTCTCACTGCTCTCCATGTGAAGGATGGCAGGGCTCTTTCAAAACTATAGCAAAGGACCTATGGCCAAGAAATGGGAAAAAACCTGGAATGGAGGCAGCGTGAAAGAACAGAAGGGCATCTGTGGCATATTAGCAAATGAACAACAATTTTTTAAAAGAAATTAACAGCCCACCAGAGGGCAAAGCTGAGGACGGGAAGGAAGACTGATCTCTAGCTAGGCAGCTTTTAGGCATCCTGCCTCACTGCCCCCAGGCCATTCTGTGAGCTCAATGCCCAACTCCATCAGCTACATTCCTGGTTCTCCTGTTCAAGTTTCCAGTTGCCACTTAAGCTCTGCACACATAGCATTTTCAAAGCTTGTGAGTGAAGCTGCAGAATAATTCCATTTGTGAAGCAATTACAATTCAGTATCACGTCCCACGGATGCCTCTAAACCCAGATATGCCCTAATCTCATCATTTAAGGTTTTGTGTTTTAAAAAAAGTCCACTTTGATGTTTTCTGGTGAAACCCTGTCTCTACTAAAAATACAAAAAATTAGCCAGACCTGGTGGTGGGTGCCTGTAATCCCAGCTACTCAGGAGGCTGGGGCAAGATAATTGCTTGAACCCGGGGGTAGAGGCTGCTGTGAGCCGAGACTGTGCCATTGTACTCCAGCCTTGGCAACAAGAGCGCAACTCTGTCTCAAAAACAAACAAACAAAAAACCTCTGATGTTTTCCAGCACATGCAAAGCCTGACAAACTGAAAGACTCTCATCTTCTACTAAACTCTGGCTACTGGTATAAATGGCAGCTCAGATTCCTGAATTAACAGTTCACACTGACAATTTAATAACTCATTATACACACACATACCTAGCCTGCAAAGCTGGACTGTCTACTCTGAAACAAGGGACAGCAGATGTAAGCACAGAAATGGTTCCAGTTATAAATAAACAAAAGATACATATATGTATATTAAAAAATGTTCTCAGCTACTGAAATAGAAACTACCAAGTAAGAAACAGGATATCACAAAGAAGGCAAGTTTGAATTCAGGGTTCTAATAGGCTTTATGGAATACTTTATGGAATACATGTTAATATGAACACGGATAAATGGATTAAAAACTCGACATCTGTAAAGTTTTAATTAAATTTTTATTTGACCAAGAAAAAACTGTCTAGAATTGTCTGACATTTACACCAAATGTCAGACAAATCCACTTAAAGCAGATTAGGAACTTCAAGCATCACAATTATTCAGCATAAAGAGCCTTTGTTAAAACATCTTTCTCATTTATTTAGAAGAAAAACATCTAGAACAGAACCAAACAAAACTTCTGTGTTTTTGTAAAAAAATTCCAATTCCTTAAACTACTATAAACAATCTACTGAAACTGTATTCAACAAGGGACAGGATTTACCTCAAGGCCATGTTCACCTGCAACATGCTGATAAGTCTGTTAAAAAACAAAGCAAAAAAAGAGTTTTTAAAAATTAGACCACTGTAGCCACAATCCCTAACACTGGACAGTTAAAACAAAAGATATCAAAATCTGTTGTTTTCTTAGCTTTACCTGTATCACTTTATAACTCCTGAGAAAGTCAATTCACATAAGCTGTGGCCTCCCCACCTTAACAAAGGGGAAAAAGAATATGTAAAACCACCACAGAATCTTGGTGTAAACTAACATGGGTTTAGTAACACAGAGTGCAGTATTAAGAATTTAAGGCACCCTTATAAGTCAGAATTGGAAAGTTGGTTTGAGACTTGCAAACTAAAATGACACTGGTTTCTGATAAAATTAAATGACTTTTATTTAGAAAAGTGTGTTTAATAAATTACTTCCTGCTGGTTCAAATGACACACAATCACTTGTATACATCCACTAAGATATTTCTGAAGTGTATACTTGGTCAAAAGTAAAAAGCAGAGCAAATGCATGGGCAGTGGGGCCTTTTTCTTAATACTTCTCATCCTCCAAAATCTGTTAAAATCATCATCTTCCACAACTCACACACTGGAAGCTGTCCACAGCACAATTCACTATGATGTGGCATTCTGTAAATAAGACTATATTGGTCTTGATGCAAGCAGGTTCAGCTACCATACTGCACTATAAGAAAAGTCCTCTCCTCAACTTACCAAGACAACTTCTCCAATTTCTAGTCACCTTCCTATCAATTAGTAGAGCAAGATTCTCACATGTTCACTATGTCTTTCTCCAGTTTTCTCATCTATAAATGTACTACTCCTATTTTCTATAGAAAGACAATGGAAAGCATATAATTGCTGTTGGTAGATAAGTAGGCCTTGAGTTTATTTTGCAAACAAGACCTGTTCTATCTACCTTTTCATTTAGGAGGCTAAAAGCAGAGTCAGCTTGATTTCAAGGACTCTATTTTCTTAGTCTCCAGAAGAACATAACCAAATCCAGCTTTTAAAACACTGTCCTTTACCATGTCAAGATACTTAAATAAAGATAATTTATAACTTCAAGCTATAGGAGATTAACTCTGTCCATATGCTTGTTTCACTGTAACCAATGGTTAATTAATCTAAATGCAAGAGAAGTGTTTGTTATTTGGAAAGAAGACCCCAGCTGGTCAGCATCTTTTCTGTCATCCGGAAGTCCCCTGGAAGGAGTAGGACTATGACCTGGGCACAACAACTGCCCCTATTAGTACTTATTTTAGAGTTGCTACTGAACAGGTGGTGGTTCTTGTCAAGTATATCATGTCTGACTATTTCATTGTTTGTTTTCTGCTATCATCAGTTCCAGGAAGAAAAAAAAAAAAAAAAGCCCAAATTGATTGCTTTTTCATTTTGCCAGAATGTGACCGAATCATGGTTTTTAGCTCTATTTTCACCTTACTCAAATCCTGGAGGAATTAAACTATCATTTATTTGAAACGTTACAAATTAGCCTCCAGCTGATTCAAACAACATGTAGTCACTCAGAGCCAATAAAAATGTTTTGGTAGTATGAACTTGGATTCTAATCTTGCTGTCTCTCCTACTCTCATTCCTAAGTCTAAATGTTAGGTCTCTTGCTTGAAAGGAATTTAAGAGATGCCCTTAAATTCAAACAGACTGGATTGCAGAAAGGAATATAATCCATTCACTGGGAAAATACACAACCAACAAAACTGAGATTTCCCAACTGTGCACTATAACAATGCAGAAACACAGTTTTAGAGATGGCTTTACTGGGTATATACATTGCTCTTTGTAGACCCATCTATTATTCTGCCACCCAGAAAGATTCTTACCCTCCTACTTCCTTCCTACTAAATGAATGTTTAAATTAAACATTTAAATTAAACATTCATTTAATTTAAAGGTGATAGGGCCAGGGAGAGGGAAGGAAAAAACAAGAAGCACTATCCAAAAGTAAGACCAGTACTTTGGAGAAAGGTAAAAGATACTCAACATTGTTTTTTGTACCATTTACAATACATAAACCAGCCACAGAGTCCTAGGCACCCAGAATGGACCTCCTCTTCCTTGTCTACCTAATGCCTGTATAGCCTCTTGGAAACACTGCCTTATTCCTCCCCGTCCCAGGAGAGGTTAAGTGCCACACTCACCTCTTTTAGATTACTTAAGTAGCTATACTGCAATCATTGACTTGTGTCTGCTCCACTTGACTATAAGCAAACTGAAGGCAGGGTTTGTGCCTTCATAATCTCTGAATGATCTGAAGATGGAAATAACTGCTTCGTGCTTTCAGGGAGCTCATATACCTGCAAAGAGAAAAGAGACATCAAATTATCTTCCAAATCAAAGGAAAAGTCTCTTTATTAGAAAGCAAAGCAGCTTTCAAATTTGTGTGTGGTTGGGGAGTAGAAGGAAACATTAAAATATGAATCTGCTGGGCACGGTGGCTCATGCCTGTAACCCCAACACTTTGGGGGGCCAAGACGGGCAGATCACCTGAGGTCAGGAGTTTAGACCAGCCTAGCCAACATGATGAAATACCATCTCTACTAAAAATACAATAATTAGCTGGGCATGGTGGCGGGCACATGTGATCCCAGCTACTCAGGAAGTTGAGGCAGGAGAATCGCTTGAACCAGGGAGGCGGAGATTGTAGTGAGCCGAGATGGCCGCCATTGCATTCCAGCCTGGGCAACAAGTGTGAAAACTCCGTCTAAAAAAAAAAAAAAAAAACCCAAAATATCAACCTTTCTTCTGTCCCAATACATCTTAAAGATCTGATACACAGTCCCATTACTAACAGTGCTCCATGGTGACTCCTAATCTAGGCAGAGTGGGAGGGGGCACAGAATGATCTGGGGATGGGAAAGATGTATGTGGTTTAGAATGCTCTTCCCATCATTGCAAGAGACCTTTGACACATTTAATATATATTACAGTTAGACTATCCTTACAAGAGCCCAAAGATCTTCAACATGTATATTTTAAATGTTCTGAATCATAAATTTGGTTCATATGCCCTGGAGGCTAGTGAGTGAAAGCTGCCCCCTTGACTACTGAGTAAGCTTAACTGTCAATCCTATATTTATAGCACAACATGAGTATCTGGCTTTCTGCTAGTTTCAGGATCTAAGACTTTATGGAATAAATCATATGCTATAAAGTTAATGTCAAATTAGGGATTTAGAAAGATCAAAGGTGATTCTTTTTCAAATGTCAAGTATCTTTAAAAGTCAATTTTAAAAGTGATACAAAGCAACAAAGTATTATAGCTCAGTACCTAACAGCCCCTCTCCCCCAAACAACTTTGGCCAAATTTATATATTAATCTGTAGGGTGGAAATCAGATAAACAAACCCCTTGTTACTGAAATTTCATCCTTTTCTTATAAAGTGATCGATGGCTAGAATTTTCAAACAGTGGGATCCTATGCTCCATTATTTTAAATCAGAAATAAAGGGATCATTCTATAGTTCGTTATTGGAAATGGTTCTCTGAATGTGTAGAGCACCGGTGAACAAATAAAACTTTGACGCACACACACATAGGTACATGCAAAAGAAAGAAATACATGTTCCCAGTCCTTCAAAGAACTGCAAGCCAACTTCCCAAAAATAACCACATATAACTAACTACCAAGGATTTCTACGTAAGGCATTTTAAACACCATTTACCAATTTATTATAAACTCAGTAGTGGGTATGTTTCTGTACAGTTATCCATTGAAAACTCATCTAAGTTCTGGAAGAGAGAGAAAAGGGAGATGGAATATAGAGGCTGTCACATGCTACTGGCTACTGGCAGGGGAAGGTAAGCAAGAGATAACTGGCCAAGAGAGTGAGAAGAAAAACTGCCTGTGGCTTGTCCATGTCCAAATCTACTAAATTGGTAGTCTTTTATTCTTAGCCCTTGATTCTCTAGCAGCTGGTCTGAACCACTGTCTGAAACCATTAAAAAAAAAAAAAGTAATGGGATAAAAAGAATACAAAATGGCTGGGTGCGGTTTTGTAGAGATGGGGTTTTGCCCCATTGCCCAGGCTGGTCTCAAACTCCTGAGCGCAAGCAATCCATCCATCTCGTCCTCCCAAAGTGATGAGATTACAGGTGTGAACCACCACATCTGGCTGAGAAAATTTTAAATCTCAAGTTATATATGTGTATTTTTGTAGAGAAGTATCCTAGCTGATTAATAATAAACTTTCCAAGCATAGAAAAATATTACAGGCCAGGCGCAGTGGCTGACGCCTGTAATTCCAACACTTCAGGAGGTCAAGGTGGGAGGACGGCTTGAGCTCAGGAGTTTGAGAACAGTCTGAGCAACACACAGTGACCCTGTCTCTACAATATATATATATTTTTTAATTAGCCAGGGTGGTAGCAAACACCTGTGGCCCTAGCTACTCAGGAGGCTGAGGTGGAGGAGCTCTTGAGCTCAGGAGGTCAAGGCTGCCAGTGAGCTGTGATCGCACCACTGCACTCCAGCCTGGATGACAGTGAGGTCTTGTCTCAAAAAAACAACAAAAGAATTAAAAATGGACATCTGTTTGTGTTCTCTGTGCCTGGAATTATACAGCTACTGGAAATACAAGCTACTGTGCTTGTTGTTGCATTTTTAAGGTGATACTTCTGCTCATGTCACAATCACAACAGCAATCATTCCTCTATATAATCTAAAATTTCTTTGAAATATCTTAAAAGTTGGTCTCTGTGGGGGTTTCTGAAAACCCTTCTCGGGGTTAGTGAAGTCAAAACTATTTTCATATGAACAAAAGCTCTTTGGAGTCCTCAATAACTGTTTAGTGGCTCCTGAGACCAACAAGTTTGAAAATTGTTTATATAGGAGCCGTGCACGGTGGCTCACACCTGTAATCCCAGCACTTTGGGAAGCGAAGGTGGGAAGATCACCTGAGGTCAGGAGTTCGAGACCAGCCTGGCCAATATGGTGGGACCCCCGTCTCTACTAAAAATACAAAAATCAGCCGGGCATGGTGGCACACACCTGTAATCCCAGCTACTCAGGAGAGTGAGGCAGGAAAATCACTTGAACCCAGGAGAGGGAGGCTATTCATGGCTTCCCCACAATGAACATCTGGTTGAATGAGTTCCCCAGTACTTAAGACACCCCCTATGTGAAGTGAACAGTTTTTCAATATTTGCTAATGTATGGTTTTCTGGGCCTCAGGCTCACTTATTTTCTTCACAGGCTTGCCACTTTCCTACAACACATTTCCATTTCAATAACATGAGAGAGATGAGTGCAATAATGCACAAGACACTTAAGCCACATAAGCACCAAATGTAAGATTACTTAAAACAGCTGAGGGTTGACTGCAGTGCACTCTACAGAATCAGTTTTCTAGGGTGAGCACATAGCGTGTTCAGTGAACCCCAGGCCGCTCTGTGTAAATGTGTGTAACAGGTAATGAAAGTTCCTTCTTCACATATTGTTACTACACATCTATTGCTAAAAGTGAAATGACAGAAGCGACGTGACAGACTCATCTCCATCTATAAAGTATGGAAGATGTAGATGACTGACACAGTTCTAACACACGCTGATTTTGCCTTTCATGGATTTATACTGTATGTAGACGTACATTCACCCTCTTCACTCCTCCTTGCAACTCCCCATCCACTTCGTAAAAAAAGACCAATTGTCTAGCAATGCAAAGAAACAGTATAGTGTAGAACAAATAATTCCGGGCTGAAAATGAAGAAATCGCGCTTTCACTCTCGGCTCTGTTATTAACAAGTTGTATAACTTTCGGCCTATCTCCCCTCACCACGCTTCAGTATAAGCTAAAAGGAGGGAGACGACCAAGATGGCTTTACTCACTTCTGACACCAAACGACTGCCAGCAGATTCAGGAAGCTTAAGAATTACCAGCTCTGTGTGTGTGTTCTAAAATTAATGCAACAGGTGCTGCTGCCTCCAACAGGCGTCACCGATTCAGAATGTTTGGGTTCGCGCAGGCCCTTATGGGACACAGGATGGCACCACCTATGTGAAAACTGCAAACTAGTCTGGTGAGTGCATATTTCTCCTTTCCACATTTATACTTACTTACCTCAGCTCCGTCGGCTACCAAGCTCGTTCTTCAAATGAGGTGGAGAAATGTAAGCGCAATGAACGAGGCCCAGATCGCTGGTGGCGCTGAACTCCCAAAAGATACACACAGCGACAGATGCAACGACCCCTCACCTCTACCCCCCTTCCCTGCTGCATCCTCTGAAACCTGATACGCCTGCCTGCTTACCAGGACGCTGCTGTCACCGGCTCCGCTGGGTGGTCAGAGACCGGACTTAACTCCACGCTACCGCCCCTCCAATGTCCCACCTTTCTAGTAAATCCACTCTCCTTCCGGCGGAAAAGCCCTTCTAGTTTCCTGGGCGTGAGAGGAAGTCCAGCCCCACGCGCTAGCGGGATCTAACTGGATGCGCCGAGGAGCTTCGCGCAGGCTCAGAATCGATCGCTCGGCTGGTTGACGTTATCAAGAAGAGAGTCGCTTTGGACTGGGGGAAGGCTTGCGCGGGATCAGGTTGTTGCTGGGTCCGAGGGCGGTAGGGAGTGGAGAGAGCGCCGGGAGTCGCTCAGCGGGGTCTAGGAGAACGGCTTGCAGATTCACATCTCCTCTGCCCGCGGATGTCCTCCGGGGAATTGAGGCTTCCTTCCTCAGCGGCCCTTTTTTCTCTCTTTGCTCCCGCTGCCCCTTGTATTTGGTTTCTTACTATTTATGTAGCATCATTGCTTGCGGTTATAATGGCCACCACTTTATTGAGCATTCACTGTACAAGCATCTCGCAGCAGGCGCTCATAAGCATCTGGCGATTCTTGGCCACTGCTGGAAGCCCAGCCATTCTTTGGAAGGAATTTGACAGCCTACATAATCCTGTACTCTAATATCCACATGGTACTCTTGGAGCTAGGAAGATGAAATTGCCGTTATATTAGTTTTCTGAAGCCGCCATAACAAAGTACCACACACTGGATAGCTTAAAACAACAGATATGTTTTCTCGTTTTCTGGAGTCTGGAAGTCAGAAATCAAGATGTCAGTGGGGCCTTGCTTCTTCTGAGGCTCTGGATAGAATCCTTCCTGCCTATTCCTAGCTTCTGGTGGGAGCCAGCAATCATTGGTATTCTTCGGCTTGTAGCTGCATTAATCCATTCTCTTCCTCTTTTATCAAATGGTATACTCCCTGTGAGTCTCTGTCTCTGTGTCTTTTATAAGGAAACCAGTCCTATTAGGTAAAAGGCTCACCTTACTCCAGTATGACCTGATCATGACTTATCACATCTGCAATGACACCCTTTCCAAATAAGATCACATTTCGAGGTTCCAGGAAGGACATGAATTTTGGGGGCGACACTAACCAACCCAGTATAGCTATTCAAGTTCTTAAGAAGTAAACAAACGAAGAGTTGACAAACAAATGTAGTACAAGTGGATTCAAACTTAGTTCAGTTTTATCTGAGTATTGATAGACATTCGGGATATCCCTTTAAAAGATGGGTAGGGGCCGGGCGTGGTGGCTCACGCCTGTAGTCCCAGCACTTTGGGAAGCCGAGGTGGGCGGGTCAGTTGAGTTCAGGAGTTTGAGACCAGCCTGGCCAACATGGCGAGACCCCGCCTCTACTGAAAATACAAAAATTAGCCGGGCATGGCAACAGGTGCCTGTAGTCCCAGCTACTTGGGAGGCTGAGGCAGGAGAATCGTTGAACCTGGGAGGTTGCAGTGAGCCGAGATCACGCCATTGCACTCCAGCCTGAACAACAGAGCGAGACTTCGTCTCTAAATAAATAAATAAATAAATAAAACATGGTGGGTAAGATTTGACTGTGCCATCATAGACTGTCAGAGACAACATTCTGGGCAAAAGAAACATTACAGACAAGGAAGCACGGGTTGAACTGTAAAATAAATTAGGTTAAAGCGGGAAAGACCTTCATTGCATGCTGAAGAGTTTGGAGCCTTTATATAAAATTAGGAGCAAATCAACGTGTTTCAGCAACTTAGTTGTGCTTTGAAGATTAATTTACCAGTTTGGGCCAAGCCTGCTTTGCATTTCTTACTCCAGTTTAAGAAGTCTTACATCCTATTATCTGAGCATAACGTGCTGTTTTCATTGTAGTGTCTCTGCCCATCCTGTCTCCTCTGCCTGGAATGCTGCCATGGGGCTACATAATATTCACTTGTCCTTTTTTTTTTTTTTTTTTTTTCTTGTCCTGGAAATTGTATTATAGCATGGCGAGGAGTTGAGTGGGGAGAGAAAGTTCTTCAACCCATTTTATGGCATTAGTATCCCCGTAATACCAAGACTGATAAAAAGCACGAGAAGAGAAAACTACATGCCAAACTCAACGTAGATACAAAGCTCTAAAATAAAGTTCTATCGGGAACAAGAAAAGGTGTATCTCAGAAATGATTTAACATTAGGAAACCTGTTACTATAAATCATTGTATTAATAGTTCAGAGGTTTAAAGCCACATGATTATCTCAATAACATTATTTTTTGAAAAATTCAATAGCTACTTTGACTTAAGAGAAAAATCTTTAAGCAAATGGGGAATGAATAGCAACTTGATAAAGGACACTTATCAGAAATCTATGGTAACCATCATACTAAATAATACAACAGAAGCATTCCCATTACTGTTAGGGAAAATGAGAATACTCACTTTTACTGCTAATGTTCAACATGGTGCTGGGTTTTCTAGCCAATACAGTAAAACAAGCAAAAGGCAAAAACATTAGGAAAGGAAGAAATGAAAATAGTATTTTCAGAAAATGTAATTTTCTTTCTAGAAAATAGAATGTAAGGACAACCTACTAGATGGTGCAGCAAGGTGGCTAAATAGATTAAAGTCATAACTTACATTTTTTGTATATAGCAGTAATAAAATAGAAAAAAGGGAACCCACCCAAAGGGGCCAAATGAAGTACCTATGAGTACACTGAACAAAAGATGTATGAGACTTATGGGAAAATATGAAATATTGAAAAATATTAAAGACTTAAGTAAATGGATATTTCATGTTCCAGGATGGGAAATTTTAGTATTCTAAAGATATTAGTCTATTGCAAATTAATAAAAATTTGATGTAGTGCCTACAAAATATTAATATTATACTAATAGGATCTTTCCAAAAAACTCTATTTGGTCAAAGTGTATTATTATTTTGACACACTACTAGGTTTCATTATCTATTTAGAATGTTTATTTAGAATGAGTGATATTGGTATGTAGGAGGTTTTTGTACTATATTAATCAGCTATTGAGACTTAAAGTTATACTAGATTTCTTAAATTTATTTTTATTTCGTATTTGCCTATGGTCTGAAATAATTTAAGTAACTTTAGAATGATCTGCTCTTTGAAGGATGCAGAACTCGGTTATGAAATTATTACATAGTATTATATGGTGTGTTTTAAACAATATAGTCTACTCTTTATGATAATTGGACTATTCAACTTTTCTACTTTATGTGGGCTCAATTACGATTATTTATATTGTGTTTTAAAGTCATTAATCACAAGTGGGTTTTGGATTTTGTGAAATACTTTTTCTGCATCTACAGTTATGATTATGGGATTTAGCTTGTTGATGGGTTACCTTTTTTTTTTTTTTTTTTTTTTGAGACGGAGTCTGGCTCTGTCTCCCAGGCTGGAGTGCAGTGGCCGGATCTCAGCTCACTGCAAGCTCCGCCTCCCGGGTTTACGCCATTCTCCTGCCTCAGCCTCCCGAGTAGCTGGGACTACAGGCGCCCGCCACCTCGCCCGGCTAGTTTTTTGTATTTTTTAGTAGAGATGGGGTTTCACCGTGTTAGCCAGGATGGTCTGGATCTCCTGACCTCGTGATCCGCCCGTCTCGGCCTCCCAAAGTGCTGGGATTACAGGCTTGAGCCACCGCGCCTGGCCATGATCGGTTATCTTAATTGATTTTTGAATGTTGAACTAGCCTTCAACATTCAAACTTGGTGATTGATATAGTTTGGCTCTGTGTCGTCACCCAAATCTCTTCTTGAATTGTACTCCCATAATTTCCACGTGTTGTGGGAGGGACCCGGTGGGAGATAATTTGAATCATGGTGGTTCCCCCATACTGTTCTCGTGGTAGTGAATAACTCTCATGAGATCTGATGGCTTTATCAGGAGTTTCTGCTTTTGCATCTTCCTCAGTTTCTCTTGCTGCTGCCATGTAAGCAGTGCCTTTTGCCTCCCGCCATGATTCTGAGGCCTCCCCAGCCATATGGAACTGTAAGTCCAATTAAACCTCTTTTCCTTCCCAGCCTCGGATATGTCTTTATCAGCAGTGTGAAAACAGACTAATACAGTAAAAGTGTATGATTCTTTTCCTTCATTGTTGGACTAAATTTGCTAATGTTTTATTGAAGATTTCGCATCTATGTTTATGAGAGATATTGGTCTGTCATTTTCTTTTCTTTGTCTGGTTTTGGTATGAGGGTGATGTTGTCCACATAGAATTAGTTAGGAAAGCCAGGCACGGTGGGTCACGCCTGGAATCCCAGCAGTTTTGGAGGCTGAGGCGGGTGGATCACTTGAAGTCAGGAGTTTGAGACCAGCCTGACTGACATGGTGAAACCCCATCTCTACTAAAAATACAAAAATATTAGCTGGGCGTGGTGGTGCATGCCTGTAATCCCAGCTACTTGGGAGGCTGAGGCAGGAGAATTGCTTGATCCCAGGAGATGGAGGTTGCAGTGAGCTGAGATGGCGCCATTGCACTCCAACCTGGGTGACAAGAGCGAACATCCATCTCAAAAATAAAAAAATATAAATAAAAAATAAATAAAAAAGCCGGGCGCAGTGGCTCACGCCTGTAATCCCAGCACTTTGGGAGGCCGAGGCAGGCGGATCACAAGGTCAGGAGATCGAGCCCATCCTGGCTAACATGGTGAAACCCCATTTCTATGAAAAATATAAAAACAATTAGCCGGGCGTGGTGGTGGACGCCTGTAGTCCCAGCTACTCAGGAGGCTGAGGCGGGAGAATGGCGTGAACCCGGGAGGCGGAGTTTGCAGTGATCTGAGATCACGCCACTGCACCCCAGCCTGGGCTACAGAGCAAGACTCCATCTCAAAAAATAAAATTAAAATAAAATAAAATAAGATAAAATAAAATAAAATAAAATACTCGTTCTCCAGGACCTCCATTTTATAGTCAGGATGACTCAGCCTCATATATAGACACCTCACTCCATAATCTTCTGCAAAATTAGCACCAAATTCAGGCAGCCAGGTTTTTGTTGGTAGGGAGAATAATTGCCAGATAAATACGCTAGAGGGTAAACACCAATAGATATATAAAAAGCATCAACATCAATCACTCTGTATTTATTACTTTTACCTGCATTTCTAA